AAATAGCTAATGCCTAAAGAATAGAGTCGCTATAGTATCTCCTTGCAAGATTAATCCTATTCTAGCTGACACGTCAAAAAAGTAAACTATTCTAGATAACAAATCGAGAAGATAATTATATATCTGATTATATAACATTTTTTGATTATATCATTTGAAATTTAGAGTATAATTTTATATGAAGTGTCTAACTTAAAACTAGTTTACAATAAATGAAAAAGTTCAACTCTAATATAAGATAATATATTTAGAAGATTTACTAATACTTTTAAGACATTTTAATCACAAACTTTATTATTTAAGATTTTTGTAATAATTTAAGCAAAGATATAAATGAACCAAGCAATATGTGATCGACTATGCTTAGGCTTGTTAGAAAGCTTTATCTTAACTTAGTCTTTTAATAAAAAAAGTCAAATTTAAGAAATTGAAATTTATTTTTAACTCGTTTAATTAAATAAACTAAACCAAATCTTACATTTTACACTTAAATGTCTCATTTAAAATTTGTTCATTAAGATAAAACAACTCTTTTTTTTTTTTTTTGGTACATGGGGTAGTGCTTTAAGCACTGAATAATCAAGAAGAATGAGGCTTACAAACATGAAAAAAATCATTGCGAATCTTATTGCAAACTATATCTGGAGGCTACTCAAAGAAATAGAAACCCTTAGCTAGATGATAAAAACTAGAGGCCATAGAATCAGCACAAGAATTTGCCTCCCTCAAAACATGACGTAGCTCACATACCCAATTCCTATTAATCAGTTCAATGCAGTCCTGGCATAAAGAGTAAAGAGCATTGGCATTCCCTAAACTTTGTAATTTTCTCTTGGCCAATAAGGAATCAGTTTTGATTATAACTTTTCTATAGCCCTTCTCCCATGCTAAAGTCAAGCCTTTCCAAATTGCAAAAATTTTTACTCTGATTGCATAGCCCATTCCCAAATGTTAAGTGAAGCCAAAAACCTAGTCACCATTTGAATCTCTACACAAGCTACAAACTCTCCTAATGTCCCTTTAGCTGAGCCATCCACATTAATTTCACAAAGCTTGATGGAGGTCTTTCCTACCCAATGAGTTGCTTAGACTGTGGGGTCTTCATATGCTTCTTCAAGTAAAGAGTTGCTTCCATTAAATGATATCTTAGTTGATACTCTTTGCTTATAATCTAATCTTTATCTCCTTTGAACCTTGCTTGGTTTTTGGCAAGCCATATATATTAACAAATAGCAGGGAAAGCAAAGCTCCAATGGAGTTATGCTCAATCAAAACATTCCTTTGTGATAGGTTGTGATGAATCCATTCAATCTGATCCATTCCTTGCCATTGCTGCCAAAGTGTGTCACCAATCCATTTGCTCTAGACCCTTCTTGAGCTCGGACAATCTCTAAAATAATGCAATATATCTTTGTTGCCTTTCCAACATCAAGGGCAGAGATCATCTGTTGTTAAACCACGTACCATCCTAAAGCTGTTTGTTAGCACTCTATTATGTAGCATAAGCCACAATAAACCCTTCTTTTTTGGGGCAACTTTGACTTGCCACAACATTTCCCACCTTCCTGCAATAGGAGAAGAAATGGACTTAATCAATAACTCATAAGAAAATGAGGTGGAGAAATTACTGTGAGTAGTGTGTCTCCAATAGATTGACTCTCGTACTCCATCCTTATCATCCAACTACATTAATTGGAATTGATAGATTAATTCATTAGACAACCAAGTTCTCAAGGAATTTAAATCCCAGCAACTATCTAACCAATACTCTGCCACCATTTTGCATAACTCAACTTCAAGCACCTAGTTAGTAGTATTCAAATACAATAGACCATCTATAAACCAAGTATTTAGCCAAAAGCGAGTCTTGGCTCCATTGGATACCACAAAGCCCATGCTAGATGGCATTAGATCTTGTGATCCAAGTATAGCTCTCCATGATTTTGATGCACCTGGTTCGAGTTCAACATTAAGAAATTCACAGTTTGGAAAATATTTGGCCTTGACTACTTGCACCCATAAAGCATTAGGTTTCATTAAAACTTTTTAGCCAAGGTTAACGAGGAGTGCTTTGTTCATTAAAGATGTA